TATCATTCCTGTGCTTTGCAGGTGCTGGAAGGAGCAAGGCTGAGGCTTGTAAACACCATCCCAGCGATGTCAGCCGAGTTCAGGAATTGAGTAGATGTGGCCTGACCTCTCGTGCTGTGTTCTCCCCCAGTGCTTGGCTGTGGTGAAGTTCCACAGCTGGGGCAGGCAGAAGTGTGTCTGAGCGTGCTGTGGGAGTGGGTTAGAGCTGCCCGAGGGCTGCAGGGGCAGCAGATCTGGCCTGGGAAGAGCAGGAGCACAGGAGTGTGGTGGCCCCTCGATGGGTTAGAGCTGCCTGAGGGCTGCAGGGGCAGCAGATCTGGCCTGGGAAGAGCAGGAGCACAGGAGTGTGGTGGCCCCTCGATGGGTTAGAGCTGCCTGAGGGCTGCAGGGGCAGCAGATCTGGCCTGGGAAGAGCAGGAGCACAGGAGTGTGGTGGCCCCTCGATGCGTTAGAGCTGCCCAGGGCTGCAGAGGCAGCAGATCTGGCCTGGGAAGAGCAGGAGCACAGGAGTGTGGTGGCCCCTCGATGGGTTAGAGCTGCCTGAGGGCTGCAGGGGCAGCAGATCTGGCCTGGGAAGAGCAGGAGCACAGGAGTGTGGTGGCCCCTCGATGGGTTAGAGCTGCCTGAGGGCTGCAGGGGCAGCAGATCTGGCCTGGGAGGAGCAGGAGCACAGGAGTGTGGTGGCCCCTCGATGGGTTAGAGCTGCCTGAGGGCTGCAGGGGCAGCAGATCTGGCCTGGGAGGAGCAGGAGCACAGGAGTGTGGTGGCCCCTCAGCCAGGAGTGAGCAGGAACAATGCGACTGAGCAGGTTTGTGCTCACGTCCTTGTAACCTCGAAGAGGAGATAAACCCAGAAACGTTTGCCAGCAAGAGCGACGAGAGGCTTCCTCCTTCTGCCCCAGTGTGTCCTAGGGGCTGAACAGCTGACTTGCTGTCACCTCTGGCTGGACAGCTGGTGACATCAGATCCTTCTTGCTCGAGGAGTGGCACAGTTGAGCTCAAGCTGGGGTGATGGACACTACCCCCTGGGCTTGGCTCTGGGGTTGCACCAGCTGCTGCTGCTGTGTGAGCCATGGTCCTTTCTGTTCTCCTCCTCTGAATTTCTCTGCGTCTTTGTTAGCTTTGGGCAGAGTGGGTAAAGACCACTGGTTTCTTCACAAATATAGTGTTGACCCCCTTTTTCCGTGGATCATAGAATGATTTGGAAGGGACCTTAAAGATCATCCAGTTCCAACCCCCCTGCCATGGGCAGGGACACTCAGAGTTGCTCAGAGCCCCATCCAACCTGACCTGGAACATATCCAGAGATGGGACATCCACAACTTCCCTGGACAACCTGTTCCAGTGTCTCACCACCCTAATGGGGAAGAACATCTTCTGTATCTCTAATCTAAATCTACCTTCTTCCAGTTTGAAGCCATCACCCCTTGTCCTATCACTACAAGCCATTGTAAAAAAGTCCCTTCCATCTTTCTTGGAGGCCCCCTTCAGATACTGAAAGACCACAAGGTCTCCCTGGAGCCTTCTCTTTTCCAGTGTGAACAACCCCAGCTCTCTCAGCCTGTCCTCATAGGAGAGGTGAAATATAATGTATTCAACACATTGCACAGCACACCCCAGATCCCAGTCTTCTAGATCTTAATAGTTTTCTTTCACAAAAAAAAAGGAAATAAATGTGACCTGCAGTCTTCTCCTTTTTGTGGTGCTTATGGATACTTGACTGCAGGGCCAAAGTTTGTTCCTCCTAAGTGGTGGCTGGCTGCAGCCATGTGCCTGCAGTGCCATGGTGGCTAGCACAGTGGGCTGAAGCATTGCCCCAGGGCTCAGCAGCAGCACGGGATGGGCTCTGTAAGAGCCAACAAAGGCTTTTTCAGAAGGCCAAGTCCTTGTTTACAGACTAGTTATTGCCATCAGGTATTTCTGCTGGGCAAAAGCCACCAGTGGCTGTAAATCCAGTAGTTTTGGTGAGCAGAGGATGCCAGCAGATGGGCTGGCATAGGCTGACTTCCAGGGCTCTACTTGGCCTGATGCTGGAGAAGGTAAGTGGAAGGAAAATTTGAAAAGTTCTTTTGCTGTATTATTTTGACTTATTTTTAAAGCTACTTTGCCTTCATCTCACCCCCCAATGCTTAATGCTCTTTAGACTAAGGAGGCCAGCAGCAGGGCACCTCAAAGGGATTACCTGGTTTTGAGGCAGGTGTTGCTATGAAGGTTGTTTTTTCTCATCTGTGACTTACAGCTGGGATGTTGGAAACCCCTCTGAATTAAGTCATTCCCCACCCAGAATAGTATTGGAAGAAAAGAATGCTGGATCACAGTCTTTCCTCCAAAGAACAGATAATGAACTTTAAAATGATGATTCAATTTTAAAACCAATTTTTCTATTTCTTTTTGTTTGAGCATTTCAGACTTCATGACTTACACTTCTTTTTTTTCAACTTTTGACATCTATAAATACTTCTTTTTAACAAAAAAAAAGGAAGTCTGGATTCTGATGTAATCATGTGACTCCAGGAACTGGGTACTTGTGAAAATCAGTGAATCCTGTGAGAACTGGCCATGCTCAGGGTCATCCTGTGGTCCAGTGGCTGAACTAGAAAGCACACCAAAACCTCCTACTCCTGACTCCCTTTCCAGCATTGCTTTCCCATCCCTTGGTGTCTGTCTTGTTGCAAGAGATTTAGATTGTTTGGCTTTTAGGGTTTTTCATAGTGTATGCTTTTTCTAAAATAATTTATATGGTCAAAGGTTTTTTCCTTACATGGTGAAATTTGCAGACCTGTGATCCTGAGGTTGCTCTGTGGCTTTGTGTGAGGATGGGCTCTTGTAGAAGCCTTGCATACTGGTGCACGCTTTGCTTGAAGAGACACTGGAGATGCTGGAGGGAGTGCAGCTGCTGGACCTTTCTCTGTGTGCTTGTACTTCTTTGGCTTTTCCAAGGTTAGAAAGGACCTTGCTGCTGGTGAATGAATCGGCGCTGGTGCAAATTCCAATGTCAGTTTTCAGTACTTAAGGTGGTTTATAAGAAATATGGGGATAGACTTTTTAGTAGGGCCTGTAGTGATAGGATGAGGGACTAAAAGTCTTTTAGTTTAGTTTTAAACTAAAAGAGGTGAGATGCAGGCTAGGTAGAAGGAAGAAATTTTTTTTGCAGTGAGGGTGGTGAAATGCTGGCCCAGAGAGGTGGCAGAAGCCCTGGAAACATTACAAGTTGGGTTGGATTTGGCCCTGAGCAACCTGCTCTACTTGAATATATCCCTGCTCATGGCAGGAGGGTAGGACTAGATGGCCTTGAAAAGTCCCTTCCAACCCAAACTATACTGTTCTATTCTGTACTATCTAAGCTGTGTTGGATTCCCTTCTCCCCAGACCCTTTGGCTCTTTGCATTTCCCTTTCTGGGGTGGTTGGAGTTCGGTGTTTTTTCCTGAGCTGTTTTCTGACATTCTGTTGCAGGAGGCTTGACGTGGCTGGTTGATGGAGGGGAGGCTTGCTGTCTGTCCTCTTGCCAGCCTGCTTTCTGCAGAAGTAAATGGAGAGCCCCTGCGTGTTGGACAGGATCAGGCTTGAGTGCTCAGAGAGCCACAAGTGCTCTGATAACACAAACGAGGTTCCTGTGCTGCTTGAGGCTGCTGGGACAGGAACTGGGGGACTCGCTGAGGTGCCTCGGAGCTCACTGAAGCCTAAAGCCAGGCAGATGCAAGTCCTCCTTTGCTTAGCAAAGGGTGAAAACAGCTGGAGAACGAAATGTCTTCAGAGGGCAACGCTCTCCCAACATCAGTGGGCAAGCAAAGCCAGCGTGTTTCTTCACAACGTGGGAGATATTTATCTTGTGACTAAGCATAAAAGTTAAGAGATGGAAAAGATCCTATTAGATCATCTCGTCCACCTCCCTGCTGGCGTGCAGTTTTTCTCCCTGGTGTATATTTATTAATAGGCTGTTGTGCAGACTGGAGTAGTTTACTCAGGGTACTAGGGAAGAGTAGGAGGCAGCCTGTGCAGGTGAGGGACTCTGCACATGTGTGACTCGACTTGGATGTGCACAGGTTGCTTCCAGCAAAAGGATTTTGTGGTAAAAAGGCCAAAAGCTCTGGAGTCAACATTCTTTGCATGCTTGGAGCCTTCCCTTGACTTGCTGGGACTCGGTTTGTGCAGGTGGCAACTTGTCTGTCGTTAACGTTCTAGGAATAAGCTAATTTTACTTTACGTTTATGATGGAGTAGCTGGTTTGAAAACTAATAATAATAGAGAGGAAAAAGAAAATGAGAAGCCTCTTGGTAAGCAGAGGTCAGCCAGCTAAACATCTGCAGAGCTGGCCTGGGCTCTGCTGGCCATGATCTATGACAGTGGTGTGTGAAGGCTCCCGGAGGAGGTGTCCGAAAGGTGCAGGTGGAAATGCTATTGCTATGACAAACAGATCAGTGCTGGAGTTTCAGGCCAGAGCCTGGGGACCATCAGCACCACTGCTTTGATTACTCCTCAGTAACTACAGCACGGCCTCACGCACGTGGGGGTTTTTGTCTTGTTTTGCACTCCTCAGTTTCATTTGCAGGTCAGAGCACTTGGTATCTCCCAGACTGAAATCCCCGAGTGTTGACTATAAAGGGGCAGATTCTAACCCTGACTAATTCAGGAAAGAACTAGAGCGTGTGCTCAACACACGTAGGGCTCAGGAGCAGAATCTTCATGCTCAGGCATGTGCTGAACTGCCTTCTCATTAGGATCACTCTGCTGCCTCCAAAGGTGTCTCCTGGTCAACACCAGTGTGAGATCAATATTTAGGATTACAGACCAGGACTACTCAATGGTGCAGGTGAGCAACCAAGCCTGTTCTGCCACCAATTAGATGTTTCTGCTGATGGTAGCTCTGTGTTGGGCCCGTGGGGCTGTGTGGTTTTCTGGAGGTGTTACGGGACATCTCTCGGTGGAGTGGTTGCTCTGTTCAGACCAAGCTATCCCCTTGATCTGTGGAGGGCAGCAGCTGGGTGTTTCATGGTACAGACCGTGGCCCTGGCACCAATGGTCTTTCTCTTAGCATGTTTTGTGGAAGTGACAGTACAACAGATGACATTTTCCAGGAAAATGTCCAAAACTTGTAAACGAGCTCCAAGATGGACTTCACCTCCCTTCCCTCAACCAGACATCTAGGGAAGAGGGATCAGGGCACGGTACATGCAGGAAGCAAATCTGCCTTCTTATTGTTTAATTTAGAGAAAACTTGGTCTAAAGATGTAAAAAGCAATTGCAGAAATTGTCTGGATACTGCCTCTCCTCATCAATTAGAGACATTAAGTGCTCAGCAGGGAGGATTAATTAGAAAATGGAAATCTTTCCATCGTGACAGCCTTCTGGTTTCCATTGAAATGCAGCTGAAGAACTGGAAAGGCTTCTGTATTTTGTTGTGACATGCAGGCATATGTTTCTTTCCATCCTAGAAATTAATTCTGTCTGTAACGAGGCCATGGGAATCAATATTCAGTTCAACTGTGTTTCTCCAGAGCTTTCTTCTAAAAGTAGTTGAATGTTCCCCCACTGTGCCTAATAAGTGACCTGATTTTGAGCAGCTGAACAACTGATCTTCCAGTTCAGAAGTGTTGCGTGGCTACTTGACAGCTGAGGGTTGGTCCACGGCCTCTCGAGGGTGCTGGACTTCTCTCTTCTGAAAGTCTTCAGGTCAGAGTCCCCCGAGAGGCTGCAGAGGCCCCCAGCCTTCTGCTGCCTCTGACTTTCCGTTGCACCGCACCGGGCTGGATGCCGCCGGGAGGAAATTACTCATGGCTCTGCCCCCCTTGCAGGCTGCTCCTGGCCTTGGTGAGCTGTCCTGCTCTCGGCCTTACATTCTGCAATGCCTAAGCTGGACTTCAGAGGCAATATCTGCTTTTTATTCAGTTTCCTCATCTTTTTCTCCCTCCATCAGGCTTGGGGAGTGAAGGAGAGTCAGTGCAAGAGCCATGACCTGATGTCTTGCACTGGGGGAGCAGGTCACCCTTAACCTGGTGGCTGTGGGTGGCACAGTTTGGGCAACTGGAGGTTGCTTCTCATTCTCTGGAAGGAGCTGCCTTGTGTGCACTGGAGCAAGCAACAGCCTGCAGGCTCTAGGGGTTCCTCAGAGCCACAGGTACATGAAAATTGGATGGTGAAGGGCTGGCAGGAGAGGCAGGGCAGACCAGGGAGGCTCTGAGCACTTTGAGCAGGGCACATGCTCTGCAGACTTGAAGGGTTGAGTTAGTGTACAGCTGTGTGCTGCCCAGCCTGGTTCCTGCACTCTTGATGGCTCATTTTTTATTGTGTTTAGTCACATATGAAGGCAAACGTACTTGGGTTCTTGTGATACTACCAGTCAAAAGGACAAGGAGAACAAAATCTCTCTGTGAAAGCTGACCCATGTGTTTGTTTCATAACCCCATCAACACCCCACCAATGGCACACGCAGGGCAGCAGCTTGTGGAGACAGCAGCATCCTGGGGCTATGCAGAAATGTGGTCTTTCTGCCCCAAAACACAGCACATCTTTTAATCTTCGCTTGCCACTAAACACTTGCTGAGCTCTGCTCCCTCCCCTGGTCTAATCCCAATCCAGAATGGCATGAGCAAGAAAAGGACCTTGCAGATTCTGTGGTGGCTCTTGGAGGGGCAGTAATCAGGCCCTGGTCTCTCCATGTGCTGTGGAGCTCACGCTTCTTGCCCGTGAGGAAGGAACAAAATAAGCAGGCAGCTGCTGAGAGACCAAAACGTGGTCAATTAGTCCTGAGCTTTGCAGTCGATTGGAAAGTTGAGTTGTGATCAATGAGATGGAGACGGGCTGGGGCTGGTGAGGAGGAAGCTGTGCCACGGGGACTATCGATCGCGCCGTGGGGCACGCAGCCTGGCAGGACAACTCGCAGGAGACACGGGTGGTGCCGTCCTTCTGCTCTCAGCCGTGTCACAAGTGGCAGAAACTGGGCCAGCTACAGGGTGGCATGAGCATGGGAAGTGGCACAGTGGCTTCAAAACCCTGATCCTCCCACAAGGTCGTGCTGTCCATGTCGGGGATGGGAGGGACCTCTCTGCTTTCCAGTTCAAAGCTTAGTCACTTCATGTTAACCTCCCCGTTAGAGCATGGGGAGCCAGTCATCAAGTTTGTAATGCTTTTGATGCTCAGAGGTCGAAGCTACAGAGGCAGGGCTGGTTCCTGCCCCGTGGAGAGCTGGGTGTCCCAGTCCCTGGTGCAGATGTTGGCTCTTAGGCAGGTTCTCCATTGCACAGCGTTGAATTTGCAGCTCTTTGGTGTAAAGCTTCATTCGTGGACTCTTCTGCTGCCAGATAGCAGATGGGTGCTCGGTGGGTGCTTTTCCCCCAATTGCTTTGCCCAAGAAAGATTTTGCTCTGAGACAAACGCCTTTCTGAGGGCTTAGTCATCTGAAGGCTTGAGTATTTATTCCTCCTTTTTGGTTAGTCCTTTTTCCTCCCAGGGACATAGAAGAGACAGGCCTGAAGCCTCACTTTTCCAAATATGCATTTTGGGTTTAATTCTCCCACAAAGTCGTCAGTCATTTAAGGAGAAATGTTAAAATAAGGCCATGAAAAGTTGCAGGAGGGAGAAATTGCAACACTCATCTATCTTACAGAGAGACACTTTTCCCTTGGCTGTGTTCACTTTAGGGGTAGGTACATTGGAATCAGAGAGTTTCTGTAAGAGGCTGGTGGTGTAAGTTGCATCAGGGTTTCTGTCTGCTTTATAAGGGCTCAGAAAACTATCTGAGGACAGGATTTTGCCCTGTAAAGAGGGAAATGATGCAGAACAGTGCTCTCCTCTAGCTGCAGACCTTCATCCTCAGCAGGCAGGGCTGGGTGTTGAAATAATCTTGGTTTGGCTGACTTCTGGGGAGAGGGAGGTGCTGGGTTGCAGGAGATGAGGATCCTTTAGACTCTGCCACTTCAGTTCCCTATTTAAAATTTTGCATTTAGGCACAGTGTGTGGTGGGACTGAGGTGGGTTTTGGGGTGTAACCAGGGTGGGTGCACACGGGTTGGCTGCACCAGTTGCTGGTGGAGGCAGCTCCTCTGCAGCAAGTGAGTAGAGGTGCAGTTCTGTGCCATGCAGACCTTGCTGCAAGGCAAAACCCAAACAGGTGGGGACCACGTGTGTTCACTGGAAGTATGCTTTGCTTGACTTGTCATTTAGTTGTGTTAAAAAAACACATGAACTCTGACCTGATTTGTCTGTGTTGACTGATTTTGGCTGACAGAAGAGTCCTTTCTAATTGTTCTCATTTGTTTCCTTGCTTTATGGGTTTCCAGGAACTTGAGATCTTTATGCAAAATCAAAGTTATTTTATATGCCAGTATATAATTTACGGATTATTTCACTAAATAAAGCAAGAAAAGAAACTAACTGAAGAAAATAACTTACTGGAGCATGCTGTCTGCAACATTTCATTTAGAAAGTAATTTTTTTTCCTCCTCATCTTGGCTCATCAAGTTTTGTCCCTTGAGCCCACTTGGGAGATACACCTGCAAACCTGACCTGGTTACATGCCAGTTGCATGCTCATAAATATAGAATCATTGAGGTTCGAAAAGACCTTTAAGGTTATGAAGTCCAACTGCAAATCTAACACAGCCAAGTCCACTGCTCAACTGTGTCACTAAGCACCACAGCTACACAGATGGATAGTCTTGAATGGCTACTTTTTGACTATTCCTGTGTGGCACATCCTTTGGATAACCCGAGTGGGAAATGCTATGAAATTAAGGACTTGGGAGTCTGAGTGTCAGCAAAATTTAGCTATTCTTTCTTCTAGCCCCAAAACATAGGTCTTATTTCCAGGACAGATCTATGTGTACAGGGTCAAATACTCCACAGTGTTTAGAGAAAACTATAAGGATGAGGTTGAGATGGTCTGAGGAAACCTGTAATATTTCAGCCACTCTCTCTTTGCATTTGAATCCATCTTTGCCAAGCCTGCAGGCTGTTTGACAGAGCTATCAGCGTGCATATCTCTGTACTCTCACCGTTAAAACAACCTCGTTTGCTTTGCTGTTGTTTTTAACACTACCCCAGCCCTGGCCTCTGAAGCTTTTTGAAAATAACATTTACAATAATATTTTTAACAGTTCCGTAGTATACAAAACTCCAGCGCCCTGGCAGGACTCCCGGAAACTTGCTGAAAGTTAATGTGGTCAGCTCTTAAAAAGGAGAGATTTTTTCCGCTTGACTCTTGCTTGTTAAACTCTCTGAGCCCAACATGTTGTTCCCTGCTGCTTGAAAAAACAAGGAAAGTCCCAATTTTAGCAATGCTCGTTTGAGTAGCTTTCCAGCTGAGCTACATTTCAGGGGCAACTATGGCTTATTATTATTTTTTTACAGTGGTGTGTCCCTACGCCTTCAAACCGAAGTGTTAAGTGGTGCTCAGGCAGGAATAAGTAGGTGCTGCTTTCCTTGGAAGCCTGGGGATGATGAACCACAGAGGGAGATGCCACTTGCTCCTGCTGCAGTAGTGGAAGATGTCCTGACTTGGAGGCTGTGCTTTATGTTGGATGCTGAGTCTCTGTGGGGTAACAACATCCTTTTTGGGGTAGGTGATACTGTAAATCCCATTCCAAATCAATGGCAGACTGCTGGTGAGTCCAGCTCTTAAAGCTGGACTACACTCTTCCCACTTTCCTAACTCCCATTCTATGTCCTTTCTCCCAGTAAGTCTTTTCCAGTCATTTTTGTGTCTTCTCTCATATCCAGGGAAAAAATGTTCTCCATCTTCTCCTCCCCTGCTTTTCTTTCTGCAACTTAGATGCAGCAGAGAGGCTGGAGTCATGTCTAGCTGAACAGTACATTGCTCTTGTCTCCCTTGAATTTAGTCTTGCTTAATCCCTTTCCAGCCAGGAGTATGAGGAGGAAAGGGAAGAACTGGCATGGATTTTTAAAGTGGATTAATAACCTTACTTATCACTCTCACATGGATACTCATACTCTGCACTTGGGTAGTTCTAATGTAGTTGAACCACTTTGGTTGTGGAACTCAGATCAGCTCAATCAAATCAAGACTGATTTTATTCCAGGATACAACCCTGGGATCCGAGCACTGCATCACCCCCCTGGCCCTGGGAGCTGAGCTCCTGCTCTCACTGCTTGGTTGGAGGTGTTTGTGTA